TCTATCGTGATGATAAATTTGCTTAGTCCATAGAAAAAAAAATGAAAAGGTGTAATTGTAACTCTCGCGAGGAATCGTTCTTGGTAAAAGATGCATTTTGAAAATTTCAATGTAAAAAGAATATCCAAAATACCGAGAAAATTGTACCGTCGTTTGATTTGAGATTTAAACAGCGATCAGGATGGGGCTCCGATGAAAAGTAGTTACTGCACTGGCTTAAAGGTTAAGTAGAAGCTGAGAATGAGCATGCGCTTAACTACACAACCTTTTCCCTTTCCCTGTACCCCGCGGCTTCGTTGCTATTCTGATTTCCAGTTCGCGTTTGTTGCCCGTGAAGGATGCCTTCTGCCAACCCTAAACTAGAGAAACAGGCCTCTACGGAGACCGTAGAACCTATACGCCAGGCGATTGTCGTTATCGAACACAAGATTCGAAATCTTGAAAAGCGTAAGGTGAGTAATCGAGTGGTACTTGTGCAAGTAACATAGCAAACTATCTGTCAGTTGATAGCTTTCATGGTACGATCCGCCATGATAGGATACGCCATGTGCTCACGCTCGAGAATTCACAAGCATCTAATGATTATACTAAGATCAACTAACCCTTATTATATTAGTTGATAATTAATCCTCTTTTATTAACACTGATTTACAGCGTTATCACTCTTTTTCGTATATTCGAATGCTGGAATTTACTTGCTATAAACCTCGTGTCATGGCGGTATCTTCCAAAGTTGTGCACAAAACTTTATATGACACGCTTTCAAGCCGTTACCGGTAAACGAGATTGTATATTACCCTTTGTCCGGCATAATGTTAACAATTCAAACTTAAGCTTTATGTGTACAAGTTATGTCCCAGAATAACGATAACTTCTCGTTTTTACTTCTTTTTTTAGAATTACATATACTTATATACTTTGTTTTCCAAAATCGTGTACAGTCTGATATGAATAATTGACTGTAAGTTGTCATATGCAAAGCTAACTGTATGATATATGGGAATAACTAAATTAGTTAACTTACATTTTATATATACATTGAAATGTACAGATGTTGTAGTCTTATTATTTGTACCCTTGTATGAATTTTGAAATACTTTAGTACATTTGGAAATTATATTATATTATATTATATTATAATATATATGTACATGTATATCTAGGTAAAGTTAGAATCATATAAGGACCTACAAAAAAATGGAAAGGAATTGAATACGGATCAAAAAACGGCTGTAGCCAAGTACGATGAAGTTTTACAAACATTGGAATTTACACGGGAATTATATAAACAAATTGTCGGTATTGCACAAGAAGCGGTTAAACAGCAAAAGAAATTGGCAAGAAAGGAAGCTATTGAAAGAATGCAACAAGATATTGCAAAAGTAAGTTTACAAGTCTCGGAATTTACATTTTGCGATGTCTATGATCCTTATGAAAAATTGATTCACTGTTTTGTATTTGTATATGTTTCAGGTGAGGGAGGTTTTTCTCATTCAAGGTGCTTTGATGAATATGGGAACAGAATCTGTTAGAGAGGATTTTCTTACTGGAAAGAATGGTGCTGTGAAATTATCAGAGGAGGATTTAAAACATTTGGATAACTTATATAATGAACTTACAATGAAACATCATAGAGAAGAAGGTGAACCGACGTTCCTCCAACAAGTACAAAAAGTAGCAGAACATTATGTAGCCATTGTTGATGGAAAGCAAAGAGAGGTTGTTGGGACAACTTACAACAAATTAAAGGAAATCATTGCTTCCATTAACCAATGTGGCTATTTTGATCAAGTTCGCGAAACTGAGACCCCCGTAGAAGAAGTAAGTTGCATTTGATACAAATTTATTAGAAAGAAAGAATAAAATACTGTATGAAATGATTATTACGTCTTTCCTTACAGATTACAGAAGCAATTGCGGAAACACTGATATCAGAAGCTCCTGTGCAAGAACAAGTCAACGAAGAATATAACAGCAACGAGAGACACATTCCGCCAGAGTCTATGATTCCAATTCCTAATTTTCCAGTTCAAGTTGCTCCACTTCCAGTAGTTTCTGGTACAACACCTGTTTCTGGTCCTATTCCCGTAGTAGCACAACCTATTCCACCACATCCAGCTGCACCAGTTGAAACCTCTTACTACACAAATGCTGCAGGATACGTTCCTCAACCACAACCACAACAGCAGCAGTCTCAGCAAACTCAACAAACTCAACAACAGCCACCACAAGCCCCTAGAATTAACGATGTAATAGGTACACCGAATTTCTTTTTTTTGCAAGAATCTGAGCTTGATTCACCGGACGTGACGTCACAAGCACCTATTGTTCCACACATTCCTGCTGCTGTAAACGCACCTATTCCTTCACAAACATTTACAAATCAAAACTTCGCTAATGCACCAGTAGTAGCACAACAAGTGATATATCAACATCAAGCGCCACAAGATATATCTCATATACCCGGATTCGCTAATCCTAATCCACCTCCACCTATCCCGATGCCGCCATCTCATCAACAACCAAACATGCAATATAGTCCACAACATCCCGCCAACTTTCAACAACAACCGCAACAACAAACTCCTTCGCAACAAACATCGCAACCAGCACAGTCACAAAACTTTGAACATCAACCAGAAAATCAACAGCAACAACCTACCGAGGTATATTCGATATAGTATTCGATTTTTAACAAGTTATCGTACGTGTTCTAGCCACTAAAGTGTGTGTTACTTTTCAGGAAAAGACAGACGAGAATCAAGATGAAGCGATAGCGCCAGAATCAGAATTGGAGCAACCAAATGATGCCGTAGATTGGTGTCAGATAACAGACCCTAACGACTGGAATCAAACGGATCAGTCGCAACAACCTACTCAAGATTCACAACAACAACCACAACCACAACAGCAGCAGCAGCAGCAGCAGCAGCAGCAACAACAGCAGCAACAACAACAACAACAACAACAACAACAACAACAACAGCAGCAGCAGCAGCAGCAACAACAGCCACAACAACAAACGACTCAACAAGCTTGGGGTGATCAGCAACGCAGCGGTTACAGAGGTAGAGGTGGAAAAAGAGGAAATTCTAATGGATATAATGGAAGAGGTAGGGGCAGCAGCGGTTATCAACAAAATGGACGTGGCGGACAAGGTAACGAAAATATACGATAAACAAGAAACGCATTCCTTTCGATAATATCTTTGGACGATAACTTGGAAATGAATAACATTTCAGGAACATATTATCGTAACGATAGCAATTATCAAAACGGTTACCAACAACGTTCTTGGGGAAATAACGAAGGCAACAGTGGTTACAATTCTGGCTATAAAAGGGGCGGCGGTGGACCGAGGGGTGGTCCACGAGGTGAGCGTGGCATGGATAGAGGTGGTCGAGGACAATTTCGTGGTCAGAGAGGAGGAAACCGTGGTGGTTATGCGCCCCGTGGTAAACCTCATACGCAACAGTAATTAAATTGCGATAGAACCATGCACAGTGAAACATTATAATAATGCTGTAAGATCTTGATTCATTTGTCTATTTGTGAAAAAACCTAAGTCGTATTTCGAAGAAGAGATTTCGAGGTAAATTTAATATCAATGGTATTAAGTGTATGTTTTAACATATAACACTGTAACCTTGACGTTCATGAATGACATGAAATATTCAACTAATTAGTTTTTATATGAACTACGCAAGGGAAATGCTATTATTGCATGATTTTACTTCTAAAAAATGTGGTATTTACTCTGTGTGGTTTTGATATACGAAAGATAAAGGAAAATTTAGCAAAAAGAGGAGAAGTGTATTTAGTAGACATATTTACGGCTTAGGGTATTTCTTAAATACGACATTGAATAACCAAAATTTTGCATTTGAATTTGGTATCTGCGATTATCAGGGGAAAGATCCTATTAATATTAACGAGAACATTATGCAGACGTAATATTGTGATATAAGAAGAAATCAACCAAATTCAGAAGTGTGAACCCACCATGCAAGTATTATTGTGTTGTGACAGAAGGCAGTTTTCACAGGGCAACAACAGCTGATCAACAAAGATTAGAAATATAATTTTATTATAAAAAAAATACAAAAAAAAATGAGAACTCGTACAAGCATTTCACGAAAAGACACAAGAATGTATTTAAAGAATAACGTTAAAATGATTACACGAAGAGATGATCTGCACGACCATATCTTTGTCTTGCGGCGCATCGTTCTAGAGAATTCTTTAAGGTACCAGAAAAAAGAGGATACAGTGAGCAATGCCTTCTAGCGCTATATATCTTCTTAACTTCATATTCCTTTTGCGGTCTATGAATTTGCGAAGCATTTAGAAAGTTAAAGTTGTCGAGATTTAGTAGTTGAAAAAGATGAAACGTTTTTGCGTGATACGCAAAATCTCAAAACGCGTTGTTCATGAAACGCGTTTCATGATTTATAACGAATTACGTAGCTCCCTCAATCTGTTTTTTTCTGTGTGATTCCAAAACTCTTCACGGTCGCCTCCGCAGCTGATTAAGTAAAAGAAATTGCAGTGCAATGTCAAGTTTACGAAGCAACATTACCTAATTTTTTTATTGCAAAATATATATGATTATTTTTAAAAGAAAAGAAGCGATAGTGCGGAGCTTTAGCATATAAGTCGAGTGTACAATTACTGACTAGAGCCAGAGGAGGCGTGTTTGAATAGTGCGCCATTGATAAAAGCCACGCTCCACCGCCAGACACGTGATAAGGAGTACCATATTGTATTTCGTTTGTACATTTGTGTTTAATCACCTCCATCTACAGTTATGTTCAACTATCCTATGAATACCTATGTATCTTCCAAATAAAGATCTAATTCAACCCTGCTAACTAGCCTATCTATCGTACTCATTGTCAACAAAATAGGAGAAATAACGTTCGTTCAGCTTGTTCTCAGATAAAAAAAATCGAATAAAGTGTTTAATTTCATTGTACTTGAATACTAGTATCTATTTTATTCTTTGCATTTTTCATCTATTAAATATATTTATTAACTAAGGATATTCTTATAGGTACCTACTTACCTAGTTAGGTAAGTACCGTCAAATGCTGGGAAGCTGGCACTCTTCTTTCATTGGTCAGATTCGGTTCTAATTATACGATTTGCTAAAACGCTTATACACACCAATCGGATCGCACAACAAAGCCGTGAAGCGATGTACTTGTGTATCAATTTTACACACCTTGCTTTTGTTATTTTCAAACGATTAAGTTAGTAGTTCGATTGACTACCGTAGTTCAGTTCATTTTGAATTAAATATTGTTCATCGTAGTGATCCCGTATATTGCATGTAAGTAGAAAAAAGCGTTGTTGTAAATGATTATATTATGATGCGCTTAAATTCAATGTTTACTTTACAAGGCACATAAGAATCGAAGAGTATACTTTGGAAGCGATGACAAACTGAAATCATAACTGCTGCGTTTCGACGCAGTGTGGTGAAGGTAATGAAAGAATTCATAGTTCCATGTTCTTATTTCTAATTCCCCCTATGATACACAGTACATTAAAATTATATAAATCGTTAGTGTAATTGTACAGAGAATTAAAAAATAACTTTTTCGTTATTAGGTTTAATCGTTATTAGGTTATGAATCTCATACACGCGCGCACGTTATCAAGGAGTATACAAACACTGAAGTTCCTGTACATTTTTGTTTGTCAGAACAATGATTCGAACTGCTTGTGATCCTACGATTGAACGACATTTTAAAGGTCATAAAAATGTTATCACGAGTTTGTGTTTTCATCCTGAGACAACTCAACTTATATCCAGTAGTTTGGATAAAACTATTATGTTATGGAACCTTAAGGAGTCTGTAAGGGCTTACAGATTTTTAGGACATAAGGATGCTATTCATAGTGTCACCTACGCGCCATCAGGTGAAGTCATAGCAAGTGCCTCTGAAGATAGAACTGTCAGAATTTGGGTTCCAAAGGTAACAGGACAATGTATGGATTTCAAAGCACATTCAGGGGCTGTAAGATCAGTAGAATTTAGTCCTGATGGAGAGAAGGTATTAAATGTGTAGGGATCTATTTATTGTAATTATTCGTATAGATTGATACAAATTTTAAATACATTGGTATTTAGTTACTTACAGCATCAGATGATAAAAGTATTAAGTTATGGTTTGTGCGTCAAAGAAGATTTCTTATGTCATTTTTGAGTCATACTAGCTGGGTCAGATGTGCTAGATTTTCTAATGATGGTAGACTTATCATTTCCTGTAGTGATGACAAAACAATAAAATTATGGGATGTCACTAGTGGTCAATGCGTCAAAACATTAAAGGATACAAAGGGTACGAAACATTTTCTTCGGTCGTTTGTTCAACACATTTATCAACTTAGCATTACATACATTAATGATTTAATGTAAAACAGAAAATATAAAATAAGTTATTCTATTAGCTTATAGTACGTGCGTGGAATTTCATCCAAGTGGTTCTGTAATTGGCTGTGCAAATATGGCTGGTTGTGTAAAATTATATGATTTACGCTCTACTTCCTTGTGCCAACAATATATAACTCATGAAGGTCCTGTCAACATGATCAAATTTCATCCCAAAGGAAATTTCATGTTAACTGCTTCTACTGATTCCACAATGAAGGTGGAATATACTTGTTTTTTTTCTCTAATTTTATACATTTTTTTTGTATTATTTATACTTGAAATTTTAAAATAGGTTTTAGACTTATTAGAAGGTCGCCCAATTTATACACTCAAAGGACATGCAAGTGGTACAAGTGTAACGTCAATAACATTTTCCTCTAATGGTGAATTCTTTGCTTCTGGTGGAGCAGATCGTCAATTATTGATATGGAAATCTAACTTTGATAAAGATGATATTGCTTACAAAAGTACTCAGCAATTAGTTTCATCCATTAAAGAAACAAAATTCAATAATGAGGATGAAAAACAGGAGGTAGAAAAAATAATAATAATTACCATATCTGTGTTAAAAAAAAACTGAAGTTTATTTTAGCTATAACTTCCAACATATTACTTTTTTTTTAGTTATTACGTGATACCTTTAATAATGGAGTTTTACAAAATAATAGATATCAATGCAAATCACCTGATCTTGGAATTTTTGGAAAGAATGTAGAACAGAAAACAAGCGACCTAAAGTCTTGGAAACTTTCTGAAGAGGATTCTACTATAAATGTGCCACATTTATCTAAAAACTTCTCTGATGCACAAGTCTCTACCCATACAAGTAATATAGTAGATGCGCTTAACGACCAAGTGCAGTCATTACGCGATACTGTTATTATTTTAGAACAACGTCTAACAGCATTAGAGGAAAAATTAAGAAAATGAACTTTTTATATTTTACTTACACAATTGCATAATTACTACATTTCTTATGTAAATAGTACCTTTAAGGTTTTCATATAAATTGCAGTTTAGATTTTTCAGAATACCATTTCACTTCAATAAAAGAATAGTAAAACTTGGCTATGTAACCTTATGAATATTATGGTTGCATACTTACATCCCACAAATGGTATCAATGGTATTAGTGACTTTGCCATTATTATAATATTCATCTGAATAAAAATTCAATGAATTACAATGAATTAATATTTGTGTAAAATTATATAACAAACGATTAAGGAATGGATTTAGTTAATTTATTATATAGATAATTAATATTTTTATACAATATGTAGGATGAAAACAGATTTTTTTATTATAATAGCCACGAAAGATCAAATATTGTCCATGCTAAGTATTCGGTTTAACATTGCAGAATCCTTAGAAGGATTATTAAATTTTAAGTGTCTTTTTAATCATTATTCGAAGACTCACCAAATTTTTCTGTACAAAGTATGTTCAACTTAATTCCAAATACAATTATTTCTTTCATTCTAACAATTGACATGCCTTCCCAGTTTTTTTAATAACTTGCAATATTTCGTCAGAAGAAAGTGTAGACGTCACCAGTACTTTCTTATCTGGCAAATCGATTTGTACATTGTTGATGCCTAAAAAAGAATTTTGAAATGATAGTATAATAGAAAATATTATTCAAACTGAGGTTTTTGTCTTTTTAAGAACTTACACATACGGATTAATTACATTCAGATAAACAAAAGGAAAGCAAATAATTATATTTTACACTTAATTGGAACATAAATTTGAAAATATATTCCATACCTTGCTTTTTATTAAGTACATTCGTTACAGCGTTAGCACATCCTTCGCACGTCATTTCTACGTGGAACGTATAGGTCTACGATCGAGAAAAGAAATTTTAATATACAGTTTCTTGCCACATTATATTAGGGGCTTATTATTACCTGTAATGCCATAATGATCACCGTATGTGTATACTTATCGACTTGACGTGGCACTCTGATATTATTCTATGTAATGTGACAAGTGTGAAAGAGTAAATATTTGTAATTGAACCATGAATAATTCTTATCTTGTCTTCAAGATGATGGAGCGCATTTATTAAATAGCCAAAGAATATTCTTCGATTTATACGTTTTTTCTTTTTATATCAGCATAAGTATGTATAAGTGACTGGTATTATGATCTTGAAACATGTGTTCTACAATTTTACGTATGAACTAAGAGGTTATTGTACGAATGCGATTACGCTATCTTTGTATCTTTGCAAAATAAGATATTTCCCTAGATATTTGCAGAACTTTAGAGAAATAAAATAATTGTAATAGAACTACCAATAATTCATTTCTTTAATATACAGTGTATGAACTTTATTCAAATTAATAATTTAAAAAAAAAGTCCTACCGTCTAAAACACTGAGATACATTTTACGTTAAATTTCTAAAATGCGTAGTTGAATCACACTATTTATATATTAATGATTTCACTATGAATAAAGTAATATGGCAATTGTATAAAATAATTATGTTTTACTATTACCTGCAGAAAAAATGACAAATTTTCGATTCTAATGCTTATTCGACAGTATCTGCTATTTTTACGAATGATATGATATTTTGTTATTACTTGTATATTGTTATACCGATATTATTATTACATTTTTAAATTTTTTCCTGTCTGGTTTTGCACATTCAGTCATATTGCTCTACAGTATTAAGAATATATCATTTTTAAGTATTAAGTAAAATATTTCATTGTTTACTGTACTTCAGAATACAATATTTTAATGAAAAATAATGTAGAATTATACTTACTTTTAATTAGATTTAATATAATCTCCTTATCGATTAAATACATCAATGTATGTGTATGGGGAAATTTAGCAATAATATTTATATGTTTACATTGAGACCAGCTTAATACACTTGAAATTTGATTTCTTAGGATAAAATTTAATTTAAATATTACGCATGTTTGCATTTCTTGCTAATATCATGTTTAGCAATTTATGGGAAGAGGAATACATTCGTACTACAAAAATTTCTTCCAATAAATTTACATATAAAAGATGGTTAATTCGCATGTACACTTACATACATGTTTGTGTTTACATGTAACATTATATACGTAAGTACATACCCTTAAGTTAATGTTCATGATAATTATCATAATAGACAATGTTAAACATTCTTCTAATTGATTTAATAAAATACAGACGAAGGCCGCAGTTTTCCAGTTTTAATGATAAATATTAGCTGATATACCTGAACATGCAAAACGAAACATCTATGAAGAACGCTTCTTATTCGAATACTATATTTCACTTGTAAAATTTGATTAGGATATTTTAACGAATAAAATCTTTAAAACCATTTTTGTAAGATCGGAAAAATCGGAAGTAGTCGATTTCAGAAAATATATTATTTTCATAAGTGGAGTAATACACATTTTAATAATCCTTTAAGGTAATAAGTCCAGCTTAAGATTCTGCGTTTTTTTCCTTTTTCTTTTGTTAGAGTTGGTTGACAGGAAGAGAACTTAATTTCTAGAGGACTGGTTAGGTTATAGTCTGATGGTGGAGTAATTATGTATCCACCGTCAAAGAAAGCAATAAGTGTTCTGAATGGCTCTACCACCAGATACTGACGAACTCTGATGTTCCATGTTGTTTTGTTGTTCCAGTCTTTCCAGGGATTCTACGCGCGTTCTTATAGAACCTCCATATGTGCGTACCTATATCATTAACAAACATAATTATTTATTTTAAAAATCATTCAGTGATATAATAGAAATTTTTCTTAAATTTTCTGGGATTAAAAATATATCGCGTCATAATAAATATTATTAATCGTTTAATGAATTAATTACTATTATTTAAAAATTCAAGATTGCTTAAAAATTATAGTAGGAAATAATAATGTAATTATCAAATTGAAAAAACCAGAAATTTTAAGAATATTTTTTGTACAAGAGCGAGCTCCTTGCCCCACGGTCATACTTGTTGAGCACCATTGTTTCTTTTTATGTTATTCAAAAAATTCTTCAACGCTAAGAGTTGTCACACATTTGACATGAGGCATGTAAAATTTGTATTAGTTGAACCTGCTAAAATACTAATTACATGTTTACCGGTATTTATTTTTGCATTTTATCAAGTTTCCACATTCGGATTGAAAATTCATGAGTTTGTACATTTAACGTAAAACTATAAAACAGATATTAAAAGAAAATATAGAACAATGACAACAATAAAAAGCCATTATTTTCGGTATAAAAATATTTCAAATATGTAAAATTCGTACAAATTTACTTCAACTAGAGGAAATAAAAATTAAAAATTTTTGAAGGAAAATTATTTGCTGAGCAAGTAAAAACATATAAGTATGAAATTACGTTTGTAAATACAATACTATTGTGTAATAAACAAAAGAATCAGTATGATTAATTGGTAAGACGTATATTAAATATTTTTACAAACATTTATTAAGTAATTAATATTTACTTAATAAATATCACGGATAATTAAAAATAATAGGAAAATAATAGAAAAACATTTAAGTGATGCGTTAATAGTATAAAATACTTTACATTTTAAACAAAGAAATAATAATGTTCGAATACTTACAAAATAATCCGAATATGGCACTACATGAACTACTAAGGAACTGATGAAACCTTTGTGAACACACGAATATTAATTTAGTATGTATGTATTTCCAGCCGCACGAAAAATGGGTGCATCACTTTAGTTGGTTATTTACTCACTGTCTGTAGATTAGACTTCAGACTGTGGGTGTTGGCCACTCGCGTTCACTCAAGAGGAGTTAGACTTCCACTGCTGACTCTTACTTCTCTGGGCTCCAGGGCTGCTGGAGGTCTTCTTTCTTGCAGCTGTTGTTGATTTGTTCCAGGTACAGTATGATGTCCTGACCTTGCGGTATGATTTGCCACAACAAATTCCGTCAGTGTTACATCTGCAGTTCCACCAGACTCAAGAGGTATGGCATTTTGACGGAAATGTTCAAGCATATCATATATAGCAGGAAAGCAAAGATGTTGAACTCGACAATGACCCTGATCGTTTAGTGTCATACGTAAATGCTGCAACACATATTAAAAATAATACTGTAAAACTTCTATCCACATAATTTAATTTAACAATACAACAATTTTACCTTTGCTCTGCCTTGAAAATTGAAGGTTAATACAAATTCTCCCTTTCTTGTTTCACTTTGTCGAACAAGAAATACACCATGACCATTAGCAGCACTGTGCAATACAAGATGCGCTGCATCTGATCTAGAAAGAGTACCATGAAACCATGGATATTCTCTTAAACTGCTCGATAAATCTGTTTCACCTTCATTTGTAGCTACTGCAACAAAATTTTAGTTTCTCTAATCCATACAACACGTTGTATTGAACGCATCATATAAAGAAATGTCTTACTTTGTTCAATATCTTGTTGGGATGAGCATAATTCCAAATTACTATTACTCCTTACGCGAAGTCTTAAAGGTATTTCAGGAGGATTATTAGATGCCTCATCTCCATGTTCATGGGCTGTGGATCGAGAACTTTTACTCGCCGAGTTAGCTCTTAATCTATCACTTTCATTATTAATAGCTAATGAACCATGCATTAATGATTCTGCAGTAGCATCTGTACCAGAATTAGGATTAATGGAATTTTGTTGTACCGTGCGCATACAATATTTAATTGTTGCTAACCATGATCTCATATCATTCGAATTATGAGCTTCTATAACAAATTCCATGTTGTGTGTTTTTAACACAAATGTATTTTCATGATCTGGCATTTCTAATGCAGTTGTTTCTCTAGCCTCTGTTATTGCTGAACAAAATACACCACTACGTGGTTTTACAGCTTTTGGAGGAGAATAAAATTCCAACATATATCCACCAATAGCTTTTATCAAAGCTAGTCTAGACTTTCCCCATTTCTGAGTTCCATCAATGTTTTCTCCCATCAAAGAATTAACAATACCTTCTTTCCTGCACTCCACTACAATCTTTGAGAGTTTAGCTTTCGAATGTTTATCTCTACGATGTTCAGTATGAGATAACTCTACCTCGTCGCTTTGTTGCTTATGAAAAAAACTTTTACCCTTCTTAAGCCCTTTAAAGGACAACCGTCTAAAGAAGGGTTTATGCACAGGTTTTGGCGATATCGTGTCACCATCATGTTCCGAATAATCGCTGAATTCTTCGTGCGACGAAGCACGAATGGTAGTATTATTGTTTTGATTTGTGACATTGACATCTCTGTCATTGGTAGTTGTATGTCTTGCATCATACAGAGATGGTGATCTGTAAGTTATAACAAAGTAAATCATAACTGTGTGTGTATAAATGCACTATGTGTGTGTATGCGTGTATGCGTGTGTCTTGCTTTGATTTAATTTACAATTATTTACTATTTAGGTATGTATCTATTAAATTTTTGTTGTAAAGAATAATACTTCTCTGAAAACCATTTAAAGCCATTTAAAAGCAGATATGAAATTGAAATAGAATAGAATAGAAAAGAAAAGAAAAAAGAAGAGAAGAAGATTATAAATAATAAAACTAATGTATTTTGTAAAGATTACAGCAGACCTGACTGTGCGACGCAAGTATTCGGTTTCAAAATGTTCGCAGAAGCTTTCGACGAATTTCCTTAAAAAGTCGCGATGAGAGAGGTTTGACCTGGCGCGTTCGGGTAGATTTAAACTGACATAGGTACAAAAAGCTTTAGCAAAATCCGAAGCTGAAGCGCGGGCGTGTCTCTCGCAGAATTCTATCCAACCAGGTGCAGCTTCGGGCGACACGGCAACCGCCGGCGCCGTTGTTGTTGTCGGCGTAGCCGTCGTCGTCGCTGTTACCGTTACTGCTGCCGTCGTAGTCGTCGTTGTCGTTGTTGATATTACCGTGTTTGTTATTGGTGTCGACGCAGTTACGGTATAAAAACTCATTACCTGCGTCTGCTTAGCGAAAGGGGCGAAAGACCTCCCCTGCCACTACACAACTACACGAAATTCTTTACACGACCAACCACAAATTTCTCTATACGAAAAGCACACGACCACATACCTATACGTACAATTATTAATCTCTATCGCACTTGGTCGTATTCGTACAGTAGAACAGATGAAAACAAGATAGCGTATTAAAAAATTCTGCTATTGTTTTCATAGAAAATTGTTGATATCGATAACCAAATCATTGAATGCACTTGCTTCACAAAAAAGACGCAGCATGTACAAATATTATTCTCGTCGAACTCGAATAAACGAAGTAGAACGAATTCTCGATTATTTCAACAAATTACGAATTACGAATAATCTGTACACTGTTGGCGTAATGTATCCGGACTTTTTAGTGACGGTTGAGATCTCCTGCAAGAGCAAGTGACGCTGACGATCAGCTCTTTTCTAATTCTGTCCGAAAAACATACAGCCCTACACAGACGGCATATTCAAAGAAGCGACTGGTATCTTTCTTACTCACACAAGTCTTGATTCTCTTACCTATGACCTACCATTCGTGTAAGATTGCATGTTTTTCGGCTAGAATTAGGAGAGAACACACACACACACACACGCACGCACGCACACACACACGTATGTAAGTATCGGCGCCACTCGCTCGTAACGACCGCAATGATAGCCTTATAAAAGCACAACTACGTATAACAGTGCAAACAATGCGTGGAAGTGCTTCATTCTGATTCCTATTAATATAGTGTACAAATGAATTGCACATTTCACATTTTATATCTAAAATTTTACATTTTACACTTTTATCGTTTCTTTATTTAATCTTTTTCCTTTTTATATACATTTTTAGTGATATTATGGAATACGAAACTAACGTGATAAATTCAAGAAGTAGAAAAGATAGAAGTATTGTTTCTGTCATAAGTCTAGCTAATCGAGTCGTTTGTAAGATAACCTGAAATACGCGTTTTTAAATGTAAAATGCTAGAAAATCATCTTTTAACACTGTATTCGGTATTCAGGACGAAATCAAGTAATAGCAAGGAAAATCATTAACTTAGAAATCCTCTAGAGAACATTTTAGGAGACATCACTACCGTAGAGTGGTTTCACAGAGGCCAAACTTCTAATGAAATCATCGGATATAAGAATATAATCACAGTAGACAGTTATAGAGACAACTTTCTGACCATTGGTTTTCGAGACCAATTTTCGGCGTGCGTGTAACGTAAATTATATTTTATGAACGTAACTTCAGAACTTTGCGATTTCGTGAGCGCATGCGTTACAAAAGATGTATTCTATGAATATAATTGCAGCGCTCTGTTTCGACACTGACATTTGCGTATGAAACTTGTCAATTTTTCACATAGTTCGATCCCTAGTAGTCGAGAAAAAGCGATGGAGATAGGTACTTACTTACTTACTTACTTACTTATTTACCGATTTACTTATTTGTTCATGTATGTAAGTAAGTACATCAAAAATTTCCATGGGAGTTTTACCTTGTGAGCTACTCTGCTGTCCTTACATTCGTAGGTTTGTGACATCGAGCAAGTCACCAGCACATTTTAGTTTATGGATTCGAAAAACGATAGTGGAATCACAGCTTATACGATAAATACGTAAATATTTATAAATATTGCATGTATGCGATTTTTTGAATGAATGGGGGAAAGGGAGTAGAGGTGAAAAGAGTAAATAATATTTCACTCTGTGGAAGATGTATAATAATTTATACCTTTTATTATTTCATTTCAGTTTTGTTCTTCCTTTGTGAAAATGAATCTGAAAATAAAAGTAGTACAATTGTATTGTTTTTAGTATTACATAAATTATATTTTCATCGGCAGTTTCACATAATGTTTAAACATTAATTATTGAATTGTCAAACTTCTATATTCTGAGTTGGTTTGTGTTTTTGTTTCCAATTAGTTTGTGTACAATATATCATAAATTGGTTTTGGAAGATAGTCGCTACATAAAGCCTGCATCTTTTCTTTACGTGATACTGGAGTGTACCTTCTCATTGGAAATGTTTTTACTATACCATCTGTTAAAGCTCTTGTAACTGGTGTTAAATCTGCCTCTGGGCCTTGAGTATATTTTTCAAGAGCTAACATTTCTTTCTGAAATAATTCTTGACCGTATTCTTTACGAGTTTGAGGATCTAATTGAGTCCACATATCTCTAGCTTGTTCAAGCAACGAACTATTATCTTTTAACCATGCATTTCCAGATACATATTCACCGGTTTCAATAATTACCACATCTACACCCCATCTTCTCATTTCCATTCTAAGACAGGTTCCCCAAGCATCCACGGCAGCCTATTAAGTAAAATGTAATTTTAGTTTTCTTTAATCGAGTAAAGTATTGGAAAATAATCTACCTTGACTGCACAATAAATTCCTCGAACCGGGCTTGGTATGCGAGCCAATAGACTGCTAACTAATACAACACGACCTTTTGACCTCCTAATTAATGGTAAAAAAACCTTAAAATAAGAATTTTATTAGTTGATTCACATATTTATTTTTTAATTTCATTTTTCTTTTCAAGTATTTACATTAATGTTACCTGAGTTAATCGAACAAGACCAATAAAATTAATATCTATACTACGTTTTAATACAGAAGGTGGTACCCATTCGCATTCACCCAAAGTTACCCAAGCCGCAGCATGTACTAATGCCCATAAACCTAATGCAATATATATGTAATAAAATTTAAAAGGTATAATATACAATAAAAATATCTTCAACTGTTTAAAACAAATGATTATACAAACCTGGTGCCCCATCTGGCAAATTCTCATTAACATAAAGAAAAGTTGAATGAATATCGTGCTCGCTGGTAATATCCAACTGTAATATGTGTAACCTTCCAGAAGTTTCCTGTTTTAACTTCTGCATTGCTTCATCATTTTCTGCTTTGTTACTGAATCCAGCGAAAACTGTAAATCCCTTAAAAATATATGTATGTAAACATAATACAATGCGAATGTATAATGATTTTAATTCTAGTAACAACAATACGCAAGGTTCATCTTACCAATTCATCTAATTGTTTACTTAAAGTGTATCCAACTCTTGAATCACATCCAGTAACAAGAATTGCTTTCCCGGCAGCAGTTACCTGTATCATTTACACTTATAGTTATTAATATTGTAAGCATTTTATATCAATTATGTATTTAGCACAAAATTAGGAAATAAATATAAATTTAAATGATAATCGTCAATGGTTCGTTCCATTATTTTAAAGGATAAAAGGTAGCTTTTGCCAGAAAGTTTATGTTACATTATATGTAATCAATAAAAAAAATGTATTTTCATATAATTAAAAGTTAACAATAGTACCGATATTTTGTACTAAAATATTAGGTTGATGTTGAATTATTTTAAGAACTAAATTGGAGTAACTGGAAAGCTGGATACAAACTTATCTAATTTAAGTTACGTACCTTCAAATTATGATAAAATAACGTTGATCCTATGGATATGACCAGTAATAAGAGGAACAGCACGAAACTGGATGTTTGTGATATACCTAATGTATTCAATACAGTCGCTAAGATGACTGCAACTGCATGTGAAAATGCGATTGGAAGGAAACACCTTTCTGCTAATTCCCATGTTTGACTGTCATCCGGTTCTTTATTTCCACTTGGTAAAGGCATTTCTGATTGAACTTTATTAATATTTTAAACAAATGTAATCAGTTCCATTCAAATGAGATATGCGGCTCAGCTAAGAGCCCTAACTGGGCTAACTCTGAGCTAACTTTAAACTTAAAACAGTATCTAGTCTCATTGATCTATATTTAACTACAGTGCTGTGTCTTAAGTTCAGAGATCCTAGCAAAAGTTGAATATCTTACATCAATAATAGCTGCTCCTTAACGAATCATACTATGTTTCATAAAATGCTTTATTTAAATAAAATTATACTTATTGATCAATTGATTTTTACACATTTCAGTTGAAAATAATAGTTACCATTTCAAAAGCTGTGCAACTTTAATATGAATTTTACGTATTGAAATAAGTAAATAAGTGTACAAATATAAGGAAAACGAAAGCTTTCTTTCCAGCAGTTAAACTTTCTTACAAACCAATTCTGATGTATAATGATTTATAATTGAACTGTCTAAAATAACTTTCTTCTTGAACATTTCAAATTAAAAAATACATATTATTTATAAATAAATAATAATTTCAAAATGCTATTTACATTGTCTGGATAATTTCTATTAGTTACACATGATTACATTCCTGTCTATTTTAAAAAATCAATCTGTATGTCACTTTCAACATAAAAATTGAATATAAATAAATATAACGTATGTATTCGTAATTATTATTCGTTCGTCTCTTGTTTCGTAAAGATATACAGAACGATATCGTTGATGATAAAAAAAAGTAGTTTACATTTGTTGAAATATATGGCATCGAATCATTATTAAAAAAATGATTTTCTTTTAATGTAAACAATTTGACAGTAATAAAAAAAACATTGGTACTAGAGTGGGGTTGGTTATTGATTTCCGTGTGGGTGCCATGTTGGGAGGGAATACATGAGGGTGTCTCTCAGTCGCACCGTACGCGGTAGTCTACAGAGAATATAAATAGGAGGGGTAGTTGCACCATTGACCCAGTGTTGAGTTGACATACGGTCAGTTCAGTCACTCGAACGTTATTCATCTTTATAAGCTTTTCAACATTTTTTATTCATATTTGTGAATTGTTAGAAATTATAAAAAATTTCAGTAAAAGCCTACAATTTAATGCAATCCAAAACACTGCCCTTTCTTACCTACGTTCCAACCATACAACTTTATACCTAGTGCGTTTAAGTATCGCTATAACATTTTTCTAACGAAAATTCTATAAAAATTATTTGTGTCCAGCAACAAGTTTATACTGCTCGTCGATTAATGTGAATACACGTCTGGTGTTGCGATTTGATTTGATGATCATCGGCGTCATTGAGAAACTGATGTGCAACGATAATCAAGCCTTAGTAGCAGTCAATTCTTTTAATGAAAGTACATTTTTTACAACATAAATTTAATATAGTTGACTGATATTTTTGAGTTAGAAGAACATAGACATTTCGGTGAGCATTAAAATTGTTTTCTGATTTGCAATTTGAAGCGGTATGTCAGAAACAGCAGGAATATCACAGGGGCTGGGCAACCCTTACAAAATTGTTGATCATGCTAGAGAGAAACGGAAAGGAATCACTGCATCTTCACTGAAAGAATTGACTAGTATTGCAAGAAGTCGTTTGTCTCTGCCCTTGGATGCAGAACTTACAATAGTTTTAGAACAAGATGGTAATGTTCTGTTAATTTAATATAATTAAATTTTTCTTCAATGACAATGTACCAGTGACTATATCTTTTCTCTGTTTTCCTTTTTCATAGGCACAGAAGTAGATGACGAAGAATATTTTGCAACTTTAGAAAGAAACACTAGCTTAATGGTTCTACATGGAGATCAGAAATGGATAGCAGCTGGAAGTAGTAAGACTGCTTCTCGGTATATCGTCGTAGATGATGTTGATAATATAGAAAGTGGTTTAAGAGGAGATGAACTCAGAAGGCGTCGACCCCTAATAGAACCATTGGTATCATCGTTGCATGGTGATCCTTCACATATATCGCTGCTCGGTGGAAGTGATCTAGAATTACTCAGTGACATGGATCCAGACAGCTTAGCTGACATAGTACCCGACAGGTATAGGGTTAAATTTAAAGATTATTTAGCGTGTAATGAAGAAAATTTTAGCATGTACAGAAAACGTATTATTCTTTATTTTATAAGTTATTTCGGAATTTGAAATTATATAATAAAATTATAAACTCTTTTAGAATTTTCTTGGAGCAATTAAAAGAAGCTTCAGGCAGATTCTTAGCTGAGAAACGACAAGCACAGGAGTCTATGGCTCTTCTTCAGATGTACGCAAATGGTGGAGAGATGGAGCGAGCGTAGGCCATGTGGGGGGTGGGCGCCCTCACATTGGCCAACATGTATCGAGTGCGGCGTCGTGTATTTTACAAAGGTCGCCAATTGCAACAAACCTTAATCCTCTTCTGGAATTGAGCCCATAACATTTATAGCGCAACATTCTATTGCGCTACCTACTACCATTGTGTACCATTCATGAAAATTTGAATGTGCACATTGTCAATGAAAATATTAAAACTCTTCTATGCTGCATTTTGAAAAGTGCAATGGAAATAGGAAGAAGTACAGGAACTAAAAAGTTCCTATGTTTTACGGATTGTCAAAAGTTATTTCTGAAGTATTTGCAAGTATCCACTAAATATGTGAATACATAAATTTATTAGCAGAAAAAGTGCATTGAAAGTTGATGCTTGTTCATACTATAAGTTAATATTCTAACAGTATATAGTTATACTTTCTATTAATAGTTTTATTACTAGTAAATTATTTTTAGTGTTTTCCTTTTTATTTTATGCAAATCAGTGGCACAAATATGTCAGTGTTATTTATTTGTAGAGTATGGCATAAGGAATTGCTTTTCTGTAACACGAGGTCTTAAATACACATGCATAGTTGTGTATGAGCAATTTAGCTGTTGAATAATCTGAATGTATCACGTAAAAACCAAAACTATATAAAAATATTATGTCAAAGAAAACATTCCGTCACGATGTTGTCATATCAGTATTAGCTAAAGTACGACATATTTGGTTTATGAACTTTTGTATGTAGATATATTATACCAAACTTTAGTTCAACGAAGATCGATGAAATGTTTAAGACTGAATTTTTAGA